ATCACAGCTGATGTAGGTTGTGCAAAATATGTAGCCAGCGGGGCTTCTAAGAAGCGATACTGCATGCGTAAGGCCTGAAAATTGACTCAAGACCCTAAACCCTAAAGACTAAACCCTAAACCCTAAACCCTAACCCCCCCCCCCCACTCCCCCACCCCCCGTCCCCGCCAGTAGGTGGGTTCAGCAGCCGCATAGGGCAGCAGCGTTCTGAGAGCGTCCAGGTCCTGGAGGAATCCGGCGGTGGCCTGATGAACCCTATATAAAACCCTAAACCCTGATGAAGGCGGAGGGGCCGGGTTTATAGGGTACAGTTGGACTCACGAGTCTTTTGCCAGGGTTTCTAGAGCTTGTAGGGCTTGTCCAGGGAGAGCCCCCTACCGTCCCCATACCGTATGCGCTAAGATCAAGGGGCGTATGACCTAAGCAAGAATACATACTTAGCTCAGTGGACTGCCATCATCCATCAACTACATACATACATAAATACATACATATATATACAGACATACATATACATATACATATACATATACATATACATATATATATATATATATGTATATCTACATATATATATATATATATGGGTATATAATTATATAACCCAATCCAAGGTCTGCTAAACACGACGTATAAACTCCAAACCCAGGGTTCATGTGAGCGTCGGATTTTATTTGCTGGCGGGCGCAATGAGCCTATTTTAATGTTCGGTCCCTGATCTCGTTTGCCTTAAAACACCTCTTCCGGGCCAATGTCGTCTTAAGGGGTGATCTCGTTCAGTATTAAATAGTACTTGGAGTGTAGTGAGTGGTATAGTTGCCCTTAACCTTCGCCCGGTAACCCATAGTGCTTCTCTGAACAACTCTGTCATTTCCACCCGTTTACGGTTAGGGTTTAGGGAGCAGGGCTCAAGTTGTTGCGAAGACGTGCCCCAGTCCTCTTGTTGCCTCCGTGGAAAGCAACTGAACAGGAGACACTTCACTCCAAAACTGGCCCTAAACCTTCCAGCCTTGTCTCAATAACTCCTAAACCCTAATCCTTGTGACTGTGCCTCTCATGGCCCTCTGGCTTCCCTAGCTGCCTTCGTGCAATTTTTTGATCACGTTTGGATCACGTTTAGATCTCGTTTGGGATCGGCAGCAATCTCCAGGCCCGCCAGACCCCACATCCCCTCAATCCCCAACCTGGGCCGAAGCGGTTGAGCCTCAAAGGCTTCTGAGTCTAAGCGGTTCAAAGCACAGCCGCCGTTCCCAGCGAGCAGCTTTTGCCAGCAATAGCCTACGCGAAACCAACTCTTCATCGTTTAGCGAACGCCTTCACACAACTATATACATGGTGTCTATGTATATATAACTAAACAAAGGCTTAGTTATACATATATATATAATATAGGTACAGATAAGGATTATGTATGCAGTAAATGCAAGTAAACAAGTACAAGTATAAATCCTTCATTCTACAACATGATCTCGTTTGATGTTCGGCCCCGATCTCGTTACCGAGAGAGAGCGACACCCCAACCAAAAAATAGGGCACATCCAAAGTAACTCTGCTCGTGCGTAAATAAAAGCGGTTGCTCATGTGGGTATGGCCAGCTCTCGAAAACGATGGTCCCGATTGGAGGATCCCATAAGCATAATAGGCCTTGTTCTATGAGGGGGCCCAAAGGTGGCAAAGGTGGGTTCTCGACATTCGAGACTCTAGGGTTTCGGGTTTATAGGCTTTAGATTAGGTTTAGGGTTTAGGGTTTAGGGTTTAGGGTTTAGGGTTTAGGGTTTAGGGTTTAGGGTTTAGGGTTTAGGGTTTAGGGTTTAGGGTTTAGGGTTTAGGGTTTAGGGTTCAGGGTTTTGGGCTCAGCATCTCAAGTTCGAGCATTTACTAGGCCAGCAGTGTGTGTAGGCAACGGAAAAACAACCCTGCCCAAAGGATCCCATAACGTTAAGACAGTAAAAAAATCATTAATTTCTGTTCAGACGCACGAAGAGGCCACACAATCACACGGGTCAGACAGGAAAAAACGCCAAATTCGTGCTGAACAATGGGGGTCCAAATGGGTCAGCGGGTCAAAACGCCAAATTCGTGCTGAACAATGGGGGGGGCCAAAGGGATCAGACGGGTCAAACGCCAAATTCGTGCTGAACAATGGGGGTCGAAATCAAAACGCCAAATTCGTGCTGAATAATAGGGGGGCCAAAGGGGTCAGACGGGTCAAAACGCCAAATTCGTGCTGAACAATGAATGGGGGTCCAAATGGGTCAGACGGGTCAAACCGCCAAATTCGTGCTGAATGCTGAACAATGGGGGTCCAAATGGGTCAGGCAGGTCAAAACGCCAAATTCGTGCTGAACAATGGGGGTCGAAATGGGTCAGACGGGTCAAAACGCCAAATTCGTGCTGAACAATGGGGGTCCAAATGGGCCAGACGGGTCAAAACGCCAAATTCGTGCTGAACAATGGGGGTCGAAATGGGTCAGACGGGTCAAAACGCCAAATTCGTGCTGAACAATGGGGGGGCCAAAGGGGTCAGACGGGTCAAAACGCCAAATTCGTGCTGAACAATGGGGGTCGAAATGGGTCAGACGGGTCAAAACGCCAAATTCGTGCTGAACAATGGGGGTCCAAATGGGTCAGACGGGTCAAAACGCCAAATTCGTGCTGAACAATGGGGGTCCAAATGGGTCAGATGGGTCAAAACGCCAAATTCGTGCTGAACAATGGGGGTCGAAATGCCACATTCGTGTTTATCATTTAGGTATATATGGTAGAGAGGTTTAGGGTTTAGGGTTTTGGGGTTGCAGAGCCATGATGCGACTACACTATACTGGGCATCCTCCTCATGGGGGCCCCCTGAGTTGGTTGTTGGCCAGAAGAGAGAGGAAAGCCCCAAACTACACCGCCCCTGGGCAGTTTGCTTCTTAGAGAATGGGCCCCCGGCGTAACCGAAGCCCCAAAACCCTAAACCCTAAACCCTAATCCCTAAACCCTCAACCCTCAACCGTCAAGCCTAAACCCTAAACCCTAATTAACCCTAAACCCTAAACCCTGAACCCCTAAACCCCAAAACGCGCGACAAGCCCTGCACAGCACCAAGACCTGAATCCGAAGCTCCCAAAGCTTGGGATGTTCCCCCTTTTGTACTAACAGCTCCTTAAGAGGGATTATAGTACCCTAAACCCAAAACCCAAAACCCGAAACCCCAAACCCGAAACCCGAAACCCTAAACCCAGCGTATAGTACCCCATAACAATTGAAGACTGTTCCTGTTAGGGGGAACATCCCAACCCAAAGCCCTAGAGCCCTCAAGCCCTAAAAGCCTTTAATGAACTCGGCTTTTTAGTTTTTTTGCTCCCCCCCCCCCCCCCCCCGCGTAAACCCTCTTACATCCAGGCCTCTGATCCGCTAGCCTAGCCCTAAAATCCTAGACCCCAAACCATTTTTCGGGTTTAGGATTTATAAGGGCACCCCACCCCCTGCAAAAACCTACAGCCCCACGACCCCAAACCCCCAAAATGCCGAGACCCTTAGCCCTAAACCCCAAACCCTAAACCCTAAACCCTAAAGTGAACGTTCTGGCTGGGCCTCTTTGTGCTCTTGCGCGAAAGTCTCCGCCTGCTGGGCCTCTCCGAGGGGCAGCAGGCCCAAGGACGATGTGCTCCGCTCGTTTCAGGTTATATGGGTTTAGGGTTTAGGGCCTAGAAACCCCAACCCCCAAACCCCAAACCCCAAACCCTAAACCCTAAACCCTAAACCCTGAGTTGGGCTCAGTGCGCTACTCTTTGGCTGGAGCATCTGCTGCTAGCGTTGTGCTCGCGACTTTCCAAGAAACCTCATAAGCCAGATACCCTCAACCCTAAACCCTAAATGGCCCTAAACAAATGGCCCTAAACCCTAAACCCTAAACCCTAAACCCTAAACCCTAAACCCTAAACCCTAAACCCTAAAACCTAAAACCCAAACCCTAAACCCTAAACCCTAAACCCTAAACCCAAAACCCTAAACCCTAAACCCTAAACCCATGCCAAAGCCGGGGTCCTCTCGTGATGCGCCCTGCTCCCTGCAGGCTCGCACGCCCCGAATGAGCCGCGCGAAGGCGCGCAGCAGGCGCTGTCGGGCCTGAGGTTGAGCAGCTGGGGTTTAGGGTTTAGGGTTTTAGGGTTTAATTTGGGTTTAGGGTCTCGGGTTTCGGGTTTCGGGTTTGGGGTTTACGCTAAGGGGTTTCCTAAACCCCCCAAAAAAGGTACGAGGATCCTGTTGGGATAGCAATAGACTTTCGGGAGACCCTACAGCCTAAGAACCCTAACCCCAAACCCTAAACTTAAACCCTATAAATCCTAAACCCTAAACCCTAAACCCCAAAAGGTTCATAAAGTTAGGGGCTTAGGGTACAAGGTTATGGGCCCAGCGGCTCCTGGGATTCATTAAAGGAACACAAGGGACCCAGGATCCTTTCGCTTTGAGTGCTTGAGGTTGGGATGTTCCCCCTTATATCAGCAGTCGCTAAACCCTAAACCCTAAACCCTAAACCCTAAACCCTAAACCCTAAACCCTAAACCCTAAACCCTAAACCCTAAACCCTAAACCCTAAACCCTATCCCTAAACCCCATGATAATCCCTACTAAGGACTGTTAGTGCAGGGGGGAGCATCCCAAGCTTTAAGGTTTGGGATTGGGGACTCAGGGATGCTTGGGATATTGTGGTTTGTAGTTTAGGGTTTAGGGTTTAGGGTTTAGGGCTTAGGGTTTAGGGCTCAGGGTTTAGGGCTTAGGGTTTTTGGGATTGGGGGTGATGGATGCTGAAGGCTTACGGTTTCGGGTTTAGGGTTTTGGGGGGGAGAAGGGGGGATTTAGGGTTTGGGGTGTGAGTGCACTTGCATGTGTGGGTGCATGTGCACATGGGCTCTGTGGCTGTTTCTATTTATCTGGGGATTGAAAGGTAGAGAAGTGTGCGAGACGATAGACACACCATCAGTACCAAAATCCAGAATCACAGTCATACGTAATTAAACATGCAGTTCCGCCTGGTAAGTACAACGGTAGCTTCTGAGTATAACTCCATGTTGGGATGTTCCCCCTGATGCTAACAGTCCTTGATAGGGATTCTACTAGGGGAGGGTGCGACAATCCCGATTAAGAACTCCATGACTTGCTCTTGAATGAGTGCACCTCGTGAGAAGCTCATCAGGAAGAACCCTAAACCCTAAACCCTAAACCCTAAACCCTAAACCCTAAACCCTAAACCCTAAACCCTAAACCCTAAACCCAGCACACATTCAAGTGCCTTGAAGCCCGCATGGCCCTCGAAGCCCCTGCGAAGATCCTCCTAAAACTAAGCTCCTCTTCAACCCAATGACGGTTTAGGGTTTAGGTTTAGGGTTTAGGGTTTAGGGTTTGGGGAAAAAAACATATCCCAAGGGTCCACCTAGAGACTATAAAACCTAAAAGCCGTACAGAGCCGAAGCCCTGTAGGCCCTGTAGGCTCCGTGGTGCGTCGAGACTCGAGCGAAGCTCTCTCAACGAAGCCACGGCTGGTAACCAGTTGAAGGCATGGCGCCGACCACCCCCCCCCCCCCCCCGTAAACCCTAAACCCTGAACCCTGAACCCTGAACCCTAAACCCTAAACCCTAAACCCTAAACCCTAAACCCTAAACCCTAAACCCTAAACCCTAAACCCTAAACTCCACCCCCCTCCCCCCCCAAACAAAAAACATATTAAAAAAATCGCCATCCTACCGGCCACACGGGTGCCCGCCTGCTTCGAAGCCCGCGAGGCCAGCAGGGAGTCCACCACCAGCATGATCCTGGTGATCCACATGGTTTGGGGTTTAGGGTTAGGGTTTAGGGTTTGGGGTTTGGGGTTTAGGGTTTAGGGTTTAGGGTTTAGGGTTTAGGGTTTAGGGTTTAGGGGGAGTTTAGGGTTTAGGGTTTACGGTTTTCTTAGCCCTTAGGATCCATGGACCCTTTTAGCCTATACTTGGGCCTTCTTGAGGGGGTTCCGATATGGTAGCTCCAGGGCCAAGTATACTACTACATAGGTACATGGATCCTCTGGGCGGCAGTTGAGCTATAGTAGCTTCAGGGCCCTAGTATACTACTATATAGGCACATGAAGTAGGGTTTAGGGATACAGGAGGATTTTGATTTTAGGAGGCCTGCGCAAAGTTTTCAGGGCATAGACCATAACACCACACTCTCAGAAGTGGCGGATGACACGTTGGCAGGGGTTTAGGGGTTTAGGGGGTTAGGGGTTTAGGGGTTTAGGGGTCTATGGTTTAGGTTTGTTTTAAGGGTCTCAAAATGACAGCTCGAATTCGCTGTCTAAATTCTGCGTGTGCTGGCCGATGTGGGAGTTTACGAAAACAAGGGACCCCAAATATAGACCCCCCAAAGTAGTAAGATTCCCTTCTAACCCGAAGGGTCCATGTACATAGCATATACTTGGACCTCGAAGGGGTTCCTATATAGCAGCTTTAGGGCTCAGGTATGGGCTATATTGGTACTTGGACCCTTAGGGTAATAAACTTTAAACCCTAAACCCTAAACCCTAAACCCTAAACCACCTAAACCGCCTAAACCGCCGAAACCCTAAACCCTAAACCCTAAACCCCAATAACGTACCCCTAACTTCGGAAGCCCCCATCTTCGTCTTCGGTGCCGAGAGTTGTCTTGGAGGGGGAGTGGGGTCAGGGTTTAGGGTTCAGGGTTTCGGGTTTCGGGGGGAAGGCACCAGCTCTTGTCTTTGAAGAGCATTCAGACTAGAAGAAATCTGGATGTACGGGGCTGAGTCGTGACGAATTTCGTCTTCGGGTCGAGCTTCTTCTTTGGAGCCGAACTTTTTTTGGAGCCAAATTTTGTACATGCGGTTTTGCGAAACCTGCAATTTGAACTTCATTCCGTTACGGGGGGGGCTAAGGACCACATGAACCTTGAAAGGGTTTATGGCTCACATACCTAAATGGGGATTCTACTATTTGCTTAAGAACCCCTAAAGAATACAAAACAATAATCCCTATATTACCCTTAAGAAGGAATAATATCTCGTTGTTTTTCGGGTTCTGAAGCACTTACTGGGATTCTATGAACCCTAAACCTCTCCAAGGCAGCTCATGCAGTTAGACCCAGCTGTCCCGATTCCCACGAGCGTCTGGAGGATCGTGTTCCTCGGTAGGGTTTAGGGTTAGGGTTTAGGGTTTAGGGTTTGGGGTTTAGGGGTTTAGGGGTTTAGGGGTTTAGGGGTTTAGGGGTTTAGGGGTTTAGGGGTTTAGGGGTTTAGGGGTTTAGGGGTTTAGGGGTTAGGATTTAGGGTTTAGGAGTTAGCGGTTGGGGTTTGGGGTTTGGGGTTTAGACTTAGATGGTTTAGGGTGGCATTATGTGGCAGCAAGCTTGCTGCAAGCCTACTTGTGCCCTGAGTTGAGCCCCAGTTGAAAACCCTAAACCCTAAACCCCAAACCCTAAACCCTAAACCCTAAGCTCAACACCCTAAACCCTAAACCCTAAACCCTAAACCCTAAACCCTAAGAAGGCCAAGGTTCATCAAGGTTGGAAGGACTGTGTCACTGGTTCGTTCCTGTACTTGCCGAAGAATTCCATCCTTAGTAGCCCGGTAACCATATCAGAATAAGGGTACCCTTTTTTGGTTTAGTTACTTTATAAGGGAACCTTAAACCCCCCCAAAAAAGGAAAAGGGTACAACGGAGCTACCAAGCATCGGAGGGAATCATGCTCGATGCGGCGTATGCTGCTGTGAGCCCGCACACGTACGCAAAGTCCACGGCGTCCGAGGAGTGGATGTACTGGAAGAACGTCAGACCCACAATCAGCCACATGGAGATCGCAAAGGCTATGATGTAGAGCACGTCCTTGACCTCAAGTGCTCAGTGTTCCCCTAGGGCTCCAAGTATACAAACAATGCCTACACTGGGGTCCAAAGTCTATAAATAGTACCTACATTGGGCTTTTTGGAGCCTTAGGGTTCCTTTGAAGAAACAACGTGGCGCCGCTTTTTGGATGCTATAAGCCCATGTTGAGCTCCTCACAGCGGTTCTGGGCTCTTGTCAAGGAACTTTTGCTCACCTAAACCCTAAACCCTAAACCCTAAACCCTAAACCCTAAACCCTAGACCCTAGACCCTAAACCCTAAACCCTAAACCCTAAACCCTAAACCCTAAACCCTAAACCCTAAACCCTACACCCTACACCCTACACCCTAAACCCTACTGAATGCAGTAGATTATGCACTCTTTGTCTGGTAGCCCAGTCACCATGTGTTTGTTTGGGTGGTTGCTTTATAGGGGAACCTTGAACGCCAAAGAAGGGACAACAAGGTGCCACTGGGCTACGAAGCTCCACAAAAACCTGGATGAACAAGATGAGTTGGCACCTTGCCGCTACGCCTGCCTCAACATCGTGGTTCTAGATTCTCAACTGGGCTTCTTTGTGGGTGGGTGTCGCTACATAAACCTAGCCCTTACTCTGCACGGTACCTGAAAGGGGAGCCCACCGCCTAAAACCTAAACTCCCTAATCCTAACCCGTAAACTCCCGAAACTCCCGAAAAAATCCCCAAAACTCCCCAACACCCTACACCCTAAGCAAGCAAGCGACTGCCAGGCACAGCTGCAGTATGGCTCCGGCTGCCTTCCCAAGCACCACGCCAGACAGGCGCCTCAAGGTCACCGAGGGAGTAGCTCCAGTGTATGTGTACCTGATTTTTTTGTTGGTTTCGGGCTTGGGGCTTGGGGCTTAGGGCTTCGGGCTTAGGGTTTAGGTTTTAGGGTTTGGGGTCCAGGTACCTAAATAGTATATGCTCGAGCCCGAAAGCTACTACACAGGAACCCTGTTTGAGGCCCAAGCATATACCAGACGGGCACAAGGACCCTGAGGGTTAGGAGGGCTAGTAGGTCTCTCAGTGTCTTTTCCCTTAGCGGCTGAATACCTAGCCCCACAAACGGTTCATGAACCTTTACATTCTTCCAATGGGATTTCGGGATTTCCATATAACCCAAAAAGGTTAAAGGTCAACCCCCAAAAAAGGTTCATGAACCTTTACATTTTTCCAATGGGATTTCTATATAACCCACAAAGGTTAAAGGCTTGAAGGTCAACTACACCCGGCCCAAAAAAGTCCCAAGTTGTAACAGGATTTCTATATAACCCAACAAAGGCTAAAGGTGAACTACCCTAAACCCTAAACCCTAAACCCTGAACCCTAAACCCTAAACCCTAAACCCTAAACCCTAAACCCTGACCCCTACAAGTTCCAGGTTGCACGATGACGCCGATGGTGGAGGCCGGGTAGGCCGAGTACGAGGGCAGCATGTTCCAAAGACCGGCCCAGCCAAGGCCAAAGGCAATACAAATCCTATAGGGTTTAGGGTTTAGGGTTTAGGGTTTAGGGTTTAGGGTTTAGGGTTTAGGGTAAGGCTTTAGGCTTTCAGTGGACTTAGGGGGGAAACAAAAAAGAGGTACATGCTTCTTTCTTTTTTTTTTTGGGGGGGGGGCTACCTTTGCCCAATTATAGAGAACGCCAGAGAAGCGAAAATGCAAAAGCAACAAAACAATATATACTGCTGAACAGCCTAGACTCGAGATGGTGTTTCGAACCACGAAGCGGGGATGGGTGGCGGCGGTGTCATCGCTGTGACAGAGGAGGTTGGACAGCACCAGCCGCGTTTTCGTGGTCCAGCCCCGGCGTGAGTTGTACCAGCTTTCCCCCGGAGCTGGATTGCTCCTGGACTACATGATTTTTGGGACCAAGTGAAGCCCTGAAAAAGGGAATGGAAACCCCATATTCCGATTACGGTATATGAGTTGGGATGTCCCCCTTATACTAAGTCCTTGATAGGGATCCTAATAGGGCGCAGTATAATCCCTATTAAGGACTGTTACACTTCTCGAACCGTAAGCCCCGTTTAGGCTTCATTTGGTCCCCCTAAACCCGAAACCCTAAACCCTAAACCCTAAATCCGAAACCCTAAACCCTAAACCCTAAACCCTAAACCCTAAACCCTAAACCCTTAGGCTGGCAGCACATGAAAAACGACCCCCCCCTGGCCCCAACGTGGCGGGCAAGGAGCGGGGTGCGGGACACCGCGACGGTGGTTGCCAGGAAGTTGTCCACAACCTGGAGATATGTATATATATATATATAGAACAATCATAATCAAAATCATAATCATCATAATCACAATACTACTACTACTAATAATAATAATAATACTAACAGTAGTAGTAAAACAATAATAATGATACTGAGATAAATAATGTAATAGTAGCAATCAAAAAACAGTGGTTACAATCTCACACGATACACTTTCCAATGGCGCAGAACAGAATGAAATGGAAAAATATTGAGTTCGAATAGAACTAGAGTAGGTTGGAATAGAGTACAGAAATACATAAATCAACCAAAATGACTAAACAAATCTATACATCCATACATACATTGTGTAAGACATGCAAGTCTTGGGGCTTCTCAAGCTAAGGTGAAGGAACCTCATCGATCTCGACGAGGACCATGCTGGCCGCGCACAGGAACGCATTGATCTCTGGACCCTCGTCCTGCCACACCTCAGTCTTACTTTCTTAGGGGCTGAATACCCTGGCCCAACAAAGGTTACGCTTATAAATAAATAAAATTCATATATATATATATATAAGGATTCGATATTCCCAAAAAGGTAAAAGGTTACCTACCCAGTCCCTAAGATTTTGTGAAGGTTAGGGAGCTCAGGGCTTTTGAGGGTTTTGGGGTTAAAGTTCTTAATGCCCGTGAAAGGTTGCTTCTCGGCACTTCGGCTCACACACACACACACAGAGGAGGCAGGCAAGGTAAAATGCCAACCTTACCCCACGGCTACTCTGCACGCACTCGTCTGGCTGGTTCTTAGTAGTGAATGAGGGAATGTGGACACTACATACTCCCTTAAAGGGTATGATATAGGAGGACTACTCCGTAAAGGGTATTCTGTAGGGCCCTCATTCCCTCATTCCCTTTACTAAGAACCAGAGAGGCCGTTACATCCACCAGTGCCCCCGACCCAGCATAGAGCCCCCAACAAAGAGTTTCCAACCCACCGCTCACCTCCCAGCTCTCCTTCCCCCAAAAACCCCTTAATTAAGGCATCTAACCCTGGGGCCCTAATCCATAATAAGGACCCTTAGTGTACATTAGGGTACTGTATGTTCCTTGATAAAGTAGGGTTTAGGGTTTAGGGTTTAGGGTTTAGGGTTTAGGGTTTAGGGTTTAGGGTTTAGGGTTTTGGAAGATCTGGGCCCCTAGTACCCCTACCCAACATAGAGCCGCAAACAGATAGCTCCAACCCACCGCTCACCTCTCGCCTGCAGCGAAACTGCGAGCCCTACATGCTAAGCCCGCAAGAAGCCTCCACCCTACCAAATGCTAAACCCTAAGCCCTAAACTACCATCTATACATCAGATCACCTGGAGGTCGTCTAGAAACAGCAGTTCACCGCTGAACTGAACCTTCATCACACCTCCCAAAGAACCTCCTGTTGACAGCACAAGTGGTCCTACCCGTGGTACTTCTTTGGGCCTTCAACTCCAGGCGGATTCAGAACATCTTCTGCTCTTGGTATGGTCTGCTGGAAATAGAATCAAATTCTCTGATCCGACAAATGGTTGGAAATATGCGTGCGCGCACGCACAATATAGAAAACTTGATACATACCAATACACTAGACGAAAGACGATGGGACATGTATAAACCAGTCCTAGCATGCTAGCACCCCTGATTCACACTCTGAACCCCTAAACACTTGAACCCAAAACCCTAAACCCCTTAAACAATCCCAAAGGGCTGCCAGTCCCATCTGGCTGCTGCCCGGCTCTTCTCTGGAGGCTTCCTTGGATTTCGGCGCGGGGCTCATAGGTTCTCGTCGAGGCTCTAAGCGCGTTTAAAGTCTACGAGGTTTAGGCCTCATGACCTAAACCCTAAACCCTAAACCCTAAACCCTAAACCCTAAACCCTAAACCCTAACCCTCAGGGCTTCCTTGGATTTCGGCGTTGGCTCAGAAGAGTCTCTAAGTGCCTGTAAGGTTTACAAGGTTTCGGTCTCATGACACCCTCCCCCCCCCTTCCCCCCTCCCCAACCTATACCAAGGGTTAGGGCTTAGGGTTTAGGGTTTAGGGTTTACGGTTTAGGGTTTCGCCACCCGCACTGCACACACCATCAGGCGCCCGCTCCGCTGGGTCGAGTCGAGGTTACCGGGTTTAGGGTTTAGGGTTTAGGGTTTAGGGTTTAGGGTTTAGGGTTTAGGATACGCTTTTGGTTGAGCGGGCTTGCAACTTACCTTTGGAGAACCAGGTACAACTGTTGCTCCTAGCAATGAACCGTAATAGATGTAAACTCAACACTGAATATCCCTTAACCCCCTTCCCCCTCCTTACTTAGCATGGTGATGGGCGCAACCGCCCCAAAATAAGACCCTAAACCCTCAACCCTGGTCCAGAGAGTCCCAGGCCAAATCTTCCTGGTAGCCCAATAACCATCTTATGCAATGGGTACACTGGTTACTTTACAAGGGAACACAGAACCATAAAAAGTGTAATTAAAGAGCAGAGAGTATTATTGGGCTACCCTGCCTTAAAAAGCCAAGAAGCCCCAAGAAGCCCTGAAATGCCCAAAGCCCCACACTCGAGCCCTAAACCCCAAACCCTGAACCCTAAACCCTTAACCCTTCTTGCTCCAGGGCTCTCTCACATGCCCTGAACCCTAAACCCTCAACCCTCAACCCTAAAACTCTCAACCCTCAAGCCTCAACCCTAAACCCTTCCTGGAGGAAGCCAAGCCTCAGCGAAGGCGGAGCGCAGGGCTTCGGCCAACTTCGCGGCAGAGCGCTCGCAGTGCCTGGGGGTTTAGGGTTTCGGGTTTAGGGTTGAGGGTTGAGGGTTAAGGGTCTAGGGTTAAGGGTTTAGGGTTGAGGGTTTAGGGTTTAGGGTTAAGGGTTTAGGGTTTAGGGTTTGAGGGTTTAGGGTTAAAGGATGAGGCTGCAGGATCCAGGGGCCGCATGCGCCGGGTTTCGGGTTCAGGCCATCTGTTTTCCTACAGGGTTGAAGGTGCGGGCCCTCAGGGTCTCAGGACGTCAGACACCCTCTCAGAAGAGAACCCTAAATCCTAAACCCTAAGGGTCCAAACAGCCCAAAGGAGGTACTATTACAGACTTCAGACCCCAATGTAGGTATTCTTTGTATACTTGGAGCTCTAGGGTTAGATAAAGAACGCTGAAGCTAAACCCACCCCCCCCAAGAAGGGGAATCTCATTTAGGTACATACCGGCATACCTGTACCACGTTTTAGTGGGATTTTATGCTCCCAAACCCTTTGCAACGAGCTTGGCTGTGCTCCCGCCCGGTTTGGCTGCCCCCCAAAGCCCTGCACACGTGACAGGGCCTAAACCCTAAACCCTAAACCCCAAACCCTAAACCCTACATCCCAGTGGGAGCCGAGCTTTTGTAAAGAGCAGGTGCTGCTGCAGGAGCTTGAACGCCTCCTCGCTCACCCACGCACCCGCGGTGTCCACCGCCGCCGCGGTGGAGTACACGGCGGGGAGCCGGTCCTCTTTTGAGGGTTTAGGGCTAGGGTTTAGGGTTTATAGGGTTTGGGGTTTTTTTCGGGGGGTTAATACAACTGCTGACTCTGATGCACTAAAGACATTTGAAGGCCTTATGGTCTTCATGGGAAAGGGTTTAGGGTTTAGGGTTAAACCCTAAACCCTAAACCGCACAAACTAGTGAAAAATGATCAGGGGCCTTGCTTGTATCTTACTTGCACGTGGCGGGTGCCCAGGAGCTGGCTCCTATGGCTCTCAGCCGTCCGGAATTTCTTTAGGGATCCATGATTTACGGTATATTCCCAAAGGCGTCTTGGGCTTCCTGGGGTTTAGGGTTTAGGGTTTAGGGTTAGGGATCCTTTTTTATATGATTCTACAGGCATCTTCCTAAGTTTAAGGGCTGTTGGGCACCCTGGAGTCTGGATTACAAGCTGCTAGGGTTTAGGGTTTAGGGTTTAGGGTTTAGGGTTTAGGGTTTAGGGTTTAGGGTTTAGGGTTTAGGGTTTAGGGTTTAGGGTTTAGGGTTTAGGGTGCTTACTTCTCCAAGTAGCCAGGGCATACGAAAGGTTGAGCCTAAAACATAGGGAAACACAAGAAGTTTAAAAGTTCGACTTAGCACTTAGGGGCTGAATACCCTGGCTCAAAAAAGGTTAACCTCTTTATATATAGTAGGAGTCGATATACACAACCCAAAAAGGTTAAAAGGTTACCTTCCCCCCTAAGTCTACGACCCTAAGCCCTAACCCTTTTGCCTAAACCCAAAACCCTAACCCCTAAACCCCTAAACCCACAACCCTCAACCCTGAACCCTAAAACCAGAACCCGAAACCCTAATCCCTAGCCCTAAACCCTAAACCCTAAACCCAAAAAAGTTCAAAGTCCAACCATAAGGCCCCAGAGGTCCAGGCATCGCCGCAGGGAGTCCACCAGAAGAGTCAGCCTTAGCTTGGGTGTAGGGTTTAGGGTTTAGGGTTTGGGGTTCAGGGTTTAGGGTTTCAGGGTCTCGGGGTTAGGGTTTAGGGCCCTAAACCCTGAACCCTAAACCCTAAACCCTAAGGTCTAGGGTTCCCAGGGCAGCTGAAGCTTAGCCATTGGGATGATATAGGGATTCGAATACTCCCCCAAATGGGTTCGAAAGGTTGCCTGCTCTGCTACTAAGCAGCTTCTGGTAGCGCTTCGTGTCGTAGCCGCTGCCCCGGCACTTCCAGAAGGAGAAGGCGTAGCCCTGTGCTTGCGCAAGGCTTCGGGACCCTAAACCCTACACCCTAAACCCCAAACCCTAAACCCTAAACCCTAAACCAGACGCTGCTAAGAGTCCAGCTGCCCTAAACCCTAAACAGCCTCAAACCAGGCAGACCGAAGGCAGCGCTCCAGCTGCTGCACAAGATGTGTCGCGCACTGCTCCACTGTCCTCTAGGGGTTTTGGGGTTTAGGGTTTAGGGTTAGGGTTTAGGGTTTAGGGTTTAGGGTTTAGGGTTCAGGGTTCAGGGTTCAGGGTTCAGGGTTCAGGGTTCAGGGTTCAGGGTTCAGGGTTCAGGGTTCAGGGTTCAGGGTTCAGGGTTCGGTTCAGGGTTCAGGGTTCAGGGTTCAGGGTTCAGGGTTCAGGGTTCAGGGTTCAGGGTTTAGGGTTTAGGGTTTAGGGTTTAGGGTTTAGGGTTTAGGGTTTAGGGTGTAGGGTCTACTGAGCTGTGCTTAAAACCCTTTGAAAACTATCCATGACTAGTTTCCCTTATAAGCAAAGAAGGGAAATTAAAAACAAAGATCCCAAAGCACAACCCAGTTTCGGTTTTAGGGTTCATATTTAGGATCATAAATAATGTTGTATCCTGATTAGTGTGCTCCCCCGGAATTGTGGAAAAAAATCCAAAAACTATTCAGGGGGATCTATTTGAGGAGGACCCCCGGAATTGTGAAAAAAAAATCGGGCGATGTAAAATTTCGGCGAGGCTGTCGAATGGTGTTGTCGTCCATAAATCGCTTCTGAACCGAGGCTGAGAGACCAAAGATCAAAAGTTTAAAGACTGAAACCTTGAGGCCTGAGGTTGTCGGGCCCTGAAATCTTCAGTCTCCAGGCCGGGCCCAGGGCTAAGATTTCCTTACTAAATTCTTTTGTACCGAGGCCGGGCAATCAAATTTCAAAGGGGGTAGTCCAGCAGCTGCCCGGATGCCGTATAATATAAAAGTTTGCTCCCCCGGAATTATATTTTTTTTTTGCGGGCTAGTTGGGTTTGGATCCAGAGGCCTAAGGGCTGAGGTTTCCTAAACCTTGAGGCCTGAGGTTGTCGGGCCCTGAAATCTTCAGCCTCCAGGCCAGACCCAAAAGTAAGATTTCCTTATAAAATTCTTTTGTACCGAGGCCGGGCAATCAAATTTCAAAGGGGGTAGTCCAGCAGCTGCCCGGATGCCGTATAATATAAAAAGTTTGCTCCCCCGGAATTGATTTTTTTTCTGCGGGCTGGCTTGGTTGGGATAGATGGATCCCCTTTAAATTCATATAAACTCATCCCTCTTAAAATCGTATGGATCCCTCTTAATTTCATATAGTCTCACCCCGTTTAGAATCATATGGATCCCTTTTACACTCATACGAGCTCATCCCTTTTAAAATCATATGGATCATATGGATCCCTTTTAAATTCATCTAAACTCATCCCTTTTAAAATCATATAAAACCAGACCCCCCCCCCAAAAAAAAAAGTTGCCCCCCCCCCCCCCCCACACTAAAGAGCGGGATCCTTTCGTTGAGGGGGGGGGGGGGGGGGGGGGGGGGGCCACACTAATCAGCAGACAACATTAGGGTTTAGGGTTTAGGGCTCAGGGTTTAGGGTTTGGGTATTTAAGGTATTTTAGGTATATATTAAGGAGGAACCTATAGGGGTACAACCTTAGGGGTACGAGTTTCCATCCCGTGATGTCCTCCCCTTGAGGCGCAGCACTCCGTCGAGGGAGCTGGGGATGTGTTTCACCAACCTTGAAACACGGGTACTGGGTTTAGGGTTTAGGGTTTAGGGTTTAGGGTTTAGGGTTTAGGGTTTAGGGTTTAGGGTTTAGGGTTTAGGGTTTAGGGTGGGAGGTTCATGGATGCTTTACGAACCCTACTTAAAACCTATATGGAGAACTTCGGGGGCTTGTAAGTACAGTTTTGAGTGTGGTTCCAAGTACCCTGACATTCCGGTCGACTCTGGTGTCTTAAGTTTCATGCAAGTGAACATAGCAAACACAGCAAACACAGCAAGCAGTCATAGTAATGCATGGCATAAACATTGCCAGTGCATTATGGTGCTAAACGATGCAGACAATGTCATAGGAAGTTTTTTTCTTCTAGAGATACTCTGGGGTTGGGCGGGACACTCTGGGGTTGGGCACTCCAGGGACACTCTCACTCCAGAACACTCTTGGGGCTCCAGGTTACTCTGGGTTGGGCACTCTGGGGTTGGGCACTCCAGGGACACTCTGGGGTTGGGCAGGGACACTCTGGGGTTGGGCACTCCAGGGATGAGCAGGGATGAGCGAGGAGTAGACCCGGCGAGGAGAAGAGTTGATGTTAGAATCTACCAACCCCACACCCAGGGGAGGGGGGGGGGGGGGGAAAACATAGATGTAGAACAGCTGATCATACTGCATAATTCTGTACATTGATATACAACAATTTGTACTCATAACCATGTGATAATCTCTGAAATGGGAGGTAGATTTCTTGCCTCCCCAACTTCGACATCTAAAGCTTCGCGAGCTGCTTGGTTCAACATCCTCTTGACAAGTGCCCAGCAGAAACTTCCACGAGAAGCTTCCGACGTTACCTAAAAACCTTCCTTTCAGGTAAGCACGGAAAAGAAAAGAACAAACAAAACAAACATGCGATCGTGGGGCAGCCCCCTCGGATTCCTTTATCTAAAACCTCAAAACCCTAAACACTAAACCCTACCTGGCCCCTAAACAGATCGCTCCAAGCGACACCCTCGTGGCTTGCAGCGCATCGCAGGCCCAGTCCCCTGCCGCCTCCGTCGCCGTGAAGCGGAGCCGTGGAAGGAAAAAGCAGAGCAAGGACCTGTCTTCCAAGATCTCGGCTTAGGGTTTAGGGTTTAGGGTTTAGGGTTTAGGGTTTAGGGTTTACGGTTTAGGGTTTAGGGTTAGGGTCTAGGGTTTAGGGTTTCAAGGACCTGTCTTCCAAGCACTGGTTGATTTAAGGATGCAGCCTTGGGATGCTTCCCCTCATACTCACAGTCCTGTTTTTAGGGATTACAACAGGGGGGGTGCTATGATCCCTATTGAGGACTGCTAGTATAAGGGGGAGCATCCCCAATGCCACGAACAGAGGGCTCAGTGAAGTGCAGACTACCCCATCCCAACTCACAGTTCACTGGAAGAAGTCAGGGGACATGACTGAGGCGGCCAGGATCATGAAGAGATAGTCCTATACTGATTTCCAAGCAAACATGTGATAGTTTGTTGGCTGTTCCTAGGCATTACCCTAAACCCTAAACCCTAAACCCTAAACCCTAAACCCTAAACCCCAAACCCTAAACCCTAAACCCCCATTACAGTACCCAAAAAGTCAAAAAAATGATTCCCAAGTATCCCTAAGAGTCGGTGGCGTAGGTCGGCTCCGTCGAGAATCCATCAGCGCCAGGATTTACCTTACGGTTGGGTAGTAGAGAATGAGGGGTTGCGGTCCCCTATATAATCCTTTAAAGGGTATATATATATATAGGGGGATATAGGGTCACCTATATACTCCCTTGAAGGGTATATATAAGGATTTATATAGGTACCCTATACAATCCCTTAAAGGGTGTATATATATATATATATATATATGTATATGTATATACATATATACATATATATAGGGGAGGTATAGGGTCCCCTATATAATCCCTGAAAGGGTATATGTAGGGATTATATAGGGTACCCTATATCATCCCTTCAAGGGTATACATAGGGGGATAGCTACCAGCAGCGCAAGTTGCGAAGGTCATCATGAAGCTCACGTGGGTCGACAGCGCGAACATGCGCGGGTTCGGGTCGAAGGGCACGGAGAAGCAGAAGAGCACGAAGAGCCCGAAGTCCACCTTACCCAGAGACTCCAAAACCCCTCAACTAAGGGATAGACCCTAGATCATATGAGGGTTCCTATTCCAATTTACGGTGTATTCCTTAATTAAGGGGTTTTGGAGTCTCTGAGTATCTCTGGGTGGTAAAATAAGGGGTATAAGGAGGGGCCCCTAGAAGGATAAATCACCCCTGATAGCCCCTCAGGTCTCTTTGCAAGGGTCCCTCCTTTAGTCCTTTGACCTTTGTAGCCCAGTAAGCATATACTAAGGGTTCAGGTTTAGGGTTATACTAGGGAACTCCCTTTTGGTGTTGGCGACCTAGAGACAAGAAAAGGGCAAACAAGTACCACTGCCACTGGACGACAAAACCCTAACCCTACACCATAAACCCTAAACCCTAAACCCTAAACCCCAAAACCCAAGCCCTAAACCCTAAACCCTAAACCCTAAACCTGCCAAGCCACCCAGAGGAGGACCAGCCTCAGGGTACCAGACCATGTCAGCTTGTCGAGCCAAACGTTCATGAAGCAGTGGGCGGTCGCATCAGCAAACCTGAAGGGGCTTAGGGTTTAGGGTTTAGGGTTTATAATAGGGTTTAGCTGGGGGCCCCTACTTAAGGGTCCACGTACCTAGCTTTAGGGTTTAGGGATGAGGGTTTCCCTGTTTCAGAGCTGGCATTATGACTGGGGTGTATACGGTTTAGGGTTGAGGGGTTGAGGAATTTCGGATATCTGGTGCACTTGAGATCCCTTTTGGTTTGCTTCGGGGTTGGGGAGTTCTTCTTACAACTCCTGCTAAGGGCCCATGGAAGCGCGCCTGACTTCGCCGTTGTTGCAAAGCGGCAGCCAGTAAGAGACGGCGTAGTCCACGGTGGTCGGGTAGGGCCCACTCCTGAGTAGCCCAGTAACCATCTTATAATGGGTTTAGGGTTTAGGGTTTAGGGTTTAGGGTTTAGGGTTTAGGGTAGCCCAGAAACCTTATTATCATCTGGGCACCCTCTTTTGGGTTGCTTGCTTTATAAGGGAACCTTGAACCCCCACAAGGGTTTAGGGTTTAGGGTTTAGGGTTTAGGGAAAAGGGTACCACTGGGCTACCAAGACTCCCTTTCACGGGCACCGACACCGTGAACTTGTCCCCGTTGAAGGCGCCGCCGGCGAAAAGGAAGCCCAGAACTCGATTCAGGAACCTAGGGTTTAGGGTTTAGGGTTTAGGGTTTAGGACCAAATGAACCTTAAAAGGGTTCATGGCTCATATACCCTAGTGGGGATTCTAGTAGCGCAGGGCAGCTGACCCGATTTTTAGGGTTCACTTTGGTCCCCAAGGAGCATGACGTTCACGTAGGCCAGGCAGGTGCCAAAAAGGCCCTGTAAGGTGAACTTGGTCGTCATGCCGAGGTCGACGTAGACGGAGAAGACAAACTGCAGGAGCATGGTGCCCCAGAGGTTCCTCTCATGTTGAGAACATCATCTTCCTAAACCCTAAACCCTAAACCCTAAACCCTAAACCCTAAACCCTAAACCCTAAACCCTAAACCCTAAACCCCTAAACCCATCATCTTCCAGGGTTTCCAGGGTCTTGATAGCGTTTTACGGGTGTAAAAGTAACAGGGTTGCAGGAGCATGATGCCCCATCGAAGTGCGTAAAATGAATTCTAGGGTTTTTACAGGGTTTAGGGACTTTTTAGGGTTTATAGGTGCCCCAGAGGTTCCTTTTGTGAGAAAATTATTCTAGGGTTTGTAGGGTTGATGGGGTTTATATAGGGTTTGTAGGGTTTACAGGGTTACCCCACAACCACACACTTGCACCCTCACTAATCACGCGTACGGTTGGCGCCCGAGCTTCAGGAAAGCGCTGGGCTTGGAAGGCACGCACTCCGTCATAAATCCTTAGTTGCTGAGTTCATACGACCCAAAAAAGTATACACTTTCAATTCTTTAGGGGATTAGAGTATCCCAAAAATGTAAAGTGTACTCGTTTAGCTACTAAGAATCTCCACATGCTCCACTCCACCCGGCACACGCCAGGGTGCGCGTTGCAGCTGGTTAAGTCAAGGTCTCGGCACCACGCATGATTCCTGGGCTGGGCTCTTGGTTCATAAGGCCCACATCTTCCAAAACCCCTTAGTTAAGGAATATTCCCTCATTTATACTAAGGATCCTTATTATGAATTGGGGTATATTCCTTAACTAAGGGTTTTGGAAGACATGGATATGGGAGCCTGCAATGACCGTGCTTGTAGACCTCTTCGATGAGCATGCTCTAAATTGGTGCCCTTATTACAGAGGGATGGCCCACATTTATGTCCGTCACCCCCCGGCCCTGATCTGGATCTGTTCTAAACCCTAAACCCTAAACCCCAATGTGATGTCTCTAGTCGCAGCCGAACCCCCGAAAAGCTCGCAAAACTCTGCTCCCCTGTTCAAACGAGAAGGCCTTGCAATCCCCCTGTAGCCCACCCTAAGCCCTGTGTATAAGTCACCCAAAAACCACCCTAAACCCTAAACCCTAAGCCCACTCTGACCCCTATACTTATGCACCCTAAACCTCTTAAGCCCGCCCTGACAAGGCTATGTACAAAGGCTCCAACTGGCCCAAAGCAGGTATAATCTACAGACTTTGGGCCCCAATTGTAGGTGTTTTTTGCATACTTGGAGCCCTAGGGTTAATTCCCCCCTTAAATCCCACAAACCCGCACACAACCCCTGCTGTAGACACTCAAGGTAAGGGGTCCCACCCCCCCAGGTATAACTAGATGCAGAATCTAAGCATTCTCACGAAAGATTTCCAGCCCTTAACTATACTTAGTCCAGGGGGACCCTCCCCGCATAGAGCCTACTAAGCCCTAGAAAACAACCCCTACACACCAAGCCCTAAACCCTAAACCCCAAACCCCAACCTCCTAAACCTCTTAAGGCCTAAGCCCTAAACCCTAAACCCCAACCTCCTAAACCTCCTAAAGCCTAAGCCCGAAACCCTAAACCCTAAAACCCAACCTCCTGGACCTCGTAAAGCCTAAGCCCTAAACCCTGAATCCTAACCTTCAACCTCAGCCCTAAACCCTAAACCCTAAACCCTAAACCCTAAACCCTAAACCCTAAACCCTAAACCCTAAACCCTAAACCCTAAACCCTAAACCCTAAACCCTAAACACCAAGCCAAGGTGCAGGGAGCCAGCCCAGGGCCAGATGATGATGGGTAGGGACAGAACCACGGCCCAAGTGGCAACCAGTATCTGGGGTTAGGGTTTAGGGTTAGGGTTTAGGGTTTAGGGTTTAGGGTTTAGGGTTTAGGGTTTAGGGTTTAGGGTTTAGGGTTTAGGGTTTAGGGTTTAGGGTTTAGGGTTTAGGGTGGCTTTTTGTAGGCCGGGCGGACAGGGGGGAGGGGGGGGGGGGGGAGGAGGATGGAGGATGGAGGTATACTTCTACATCGCCCATGTAGGGGCTTCAGGGGAAGGATGCGGGAGGGGGGGAGTTTGCGTTTTGGCCTGGGGGAAGTCGTTGCCCTAATTGGGTCCCACCGACGCTTCTTGAGGCCAACTCTGGAAGCGCTCAGGCTAGGGGAATGGTGAAACGACGACCAAACCCTCAATCACCCTAAACTCTCCCGGCTCTTACTCGAGGAAGCCTTCACCATCATTCCCTCAAACCCCAAAACCCAAAACCCTAAGCCATAAACCCTAAACCCTCCCTCCAGGCTCTCACCCTGCCCCGTTAATTTGAGCCAAGGCGCGCTGATTTGAAAGTCGCGCACGAAGCTTCGCCTTGCCAGCTGTGCTGTCAGCCGACCTCAGGTTTAGGGTTTAGGGTTTAGGGTTTAGGAAGAAGCGGCGTCAGATGTGCACGTCCCTTGCACGTCCCTTCTTGCACGTCCCAACAGTGAGGGCCTGGGTTGCAGGGGAGGGGGGCCTCGCATGTATCGACACAACCCTAGCAAGTATTTAGGGTTCAGGGTTTAGGGTTCAAGGTTCGGGTCTCAGGGTTTGGGGCTCCAAGTATTCAAAGAACACCTACATCGGGGTCCAAAGTCTGTAAAATAAGGCCTACTTTGGGTTACTTGCAGTCTCATAGGGTAAGTTCGCATGCATCCACGCAACCCTCAGTCTATTCTCCCCTTAGAACCTTAATAAAAACAACGTTGTTCATATCCTCTTGGGTTTTATATGAACAAAAACAAAAAAACAAGGGGGATATAGCAGTTCGCCCGAAGGCAATGAACTTCAAGGCCGGTCTGTAGCCTTAGCCCTTGATCTTCATGGTATGCCCGCTGTCCTGTAAACGTTCATCCCGAATCCTTGGGATGTTCCTCCTTATACGACCAGGCCTTCATTAGGGATTAGAGTTCCCCCCCCCTCCCCCCCGGTTTTAATCCCTGTTAAGGACTGTTCTTGGGGTTCTACCTTGGACCCGTAAGGTTGTACGCTTGTACCCTTAGGTTTTGGTGTCCCTTTCTAAGGCTCGTTAAGGGAATATAAGGGCCACATTAGGAGTATATGAAGGGGAACCTTTAGGGGATACAACCTTAGGGGTACGAGTCGTCATCCCCTGAACTGTTAGTACAAGGGGGAGCATCCCAACCGAAGCCTATACATCGCCCCCTAAAAAAATCATGCAAACAATGATTGGGCCTCATCGCTACTTCCCTTTCCCTGGTCTGAAGAGACCCCCCCCCCCCCCCCCCCCGAACCACGCAGGTTTGGGTTCTGAAGAGATGGGGGTTTTCTGGGTTAGCGATCACAATCCGCCAAGGCCTATGGAGCTCTCGAAGAAGAGTGCGCTCATGAGATTTACATCAGGGCCAGACCCTAGGGCTCCAAGTATACAAATAGTACCTACATTGGGGTTTAAAGTCTGTAAATAATACCCACTTAGGGTTTAGGGTTTAGGGTTTAGGGTTTAGGGTTTAGGGTTTAGGGTTTAGGGTTAAATAATACCTACTTTGGGCCTTTTGGAGCCTTAGGGAGATAAGGTCCGAGCCATTGGTGAAAGCCGCGAAGTCTTCGAGAACCGAGAAGTGGTTGATCGAGGATTTGTCCTCCCTGCGTGAAGGGGAATGCTTAGTTGTCCAGTACCTAGGGGTTTTAAAGGTTAACCTTTGGGATTATAAGGGGAATGTATGAACCCAAAAAGGTTAAAGGTTACCTACTCGACTACTAAGATGAAGATTTATACCCTTTTTGCAGCCGGCCGGCAAACGTCCCATCATTCTACCCTACACCGGAAACCCTCCTGGTCCCAGCAAGGCTTCAGAGACTAGTCTTGTGCCGCGTAGTCCGTGCTTCGGGGCTTGCCCTAAACCCTGAACCCAATTGGATCTGTGGAGTGTCCACCACCTAGTCACATCGACTCTTGTGAATATAGCGCTGATCAGCAAAAGCTGCATCCACTCCCAAGTGTCACAACAGACCAAATGAGTTGCGTACACCCGGAAAGAGTGATGAATCTAGGAACTGACACTGCAACCAGGGACAACTACTTATGATATGATGGCTTGGCAGCCTAGTAACCATATTCCTATTAAGGGTATTGTTTGTTTTCTCTCTCTCTTTTTTTTTGGGGGGGGGATTACTTTATACGGGAACCGACAACCCACAAAGGGCAAAAGGGTACCACTGGGCTACCAAGATTTTAAGAATGCTTCGCGCAGCGCAGGACAGCAGCAGACCCCGGGATGCTTTGAAGCCTAATCCCTAAACCCTAAACCCTAAACCCTAAACCCTAAACCCTAAACCCTAAACCCTAAACCCTAACCCTAAACCCTAAACCCTAAATCCCGAGATGTTTTGAAGCCGAGGTGCGCCGCAGCGGCCGAGGGCACCGAGATCTCCAGGTCATCTGAAGCAGCGGCCATCCGGAGAGTTCTCTAAACCCTAAGCCCTAAACCCTAAACCCTAAACCCTAAACCCTAAACCCTAAACCCTAAACTAATCAGGTCCCTTTGTGGGCCCCCTGTAACCCCAAGGCTCCAAAACCGGTTTAGGGTTTAGGGTTTAGGGTTTAGGGTTTTGGGGTTTCGGGTTTCCCTAACCCTAAGGCTCCAACTCGCCCAAAGTAGGCATTATTTGCAGACTTTAGACCCCAATGTAGGTATTCTTTGTATACTTGGAGCCTTAGGGTTTAGGGCTTTAGTGCGGCACCCAAAGCGGCCCCATAAGGGCCCCTAATTTAGACAGCTGGCCAGGAGCTCGAAGCCAGTACTCGTCTAACTGAGACTCAAGGTGTTGCCCCTGTGATTGGATTTTGTTGCCCTGTGTTGAGCTAGCCCTGAAACCTAAACCCTTTTGCAACAGGCTTGCCACCTCGCCCGGACTTGGTGCCACTCGATATAAGAACCCTAAACCCTAAACCCTAAACCCTAAACCCTAAACCCTAAACCCTAAACCCTAAACCCTAAACCCTAAACCCCAAACCCACCCTAACCCCTAAACCAAACC